ATTAGATAAATATGACGGAGAGTAGACATTGAATGATCTGATGGAGAGTAGACATTGAATGATCTGGTGGAGAGTAGACATTAAATGATCTGATGGAGAGTAGACATTAGATAAATATGACGGAGAGTAGAAAGTAGAAGTATGGTAAAGAGTAGACATTGAATGATCTGGTGGAGAGTAGACATTGAATGATCTGGTGGAGAGTAGACATTGAATAAATATGATGGAGAGTAGACAGAGAGGAAGTATAATAAAGAGTAGACATTGAATGATCTGACGGAGAGTAGACATTGAATGATCTGGTGGGGAGAAGACATTAAATCAATATGATGGAGAGTAGACAGAGAGGAAGTATGGTAAAGAGTAGACATTGAATGGTCTGATGGAAAATAGTCAGTGAATAAATCTGATGGAGAGTAGACAGAGAGGAAGTATGGTAAAGAGTAGACATTGAATGATCTGATGGAGAGTAGACTTTAAATAAATATGATGGAGAGTAGACATTGAATGATCTGGTGGAGAGTAGATATTGAATAAATCTGATGGAGAGTAGACAGAGAGGTAGTATGGTAAAGAGTAGACATTGAATGATCTGATGGAAAATAGTCGGTGAATAAATCTGATGGAGAGTAGACATTGAATGATCTGATGGAGAGTAGACATTGAATGATCTGGTGGAAAGTAGACATTGAATGATCTGGTGGAGAGTAGACATTGAATGATCTGGTGGAGAGTAGACATTAGATAAATATGACGGAGATTAGACATTGAATGATCTGGTGGAGAGTAGACATTGAATAAATATGATGGAGAGTAGACAGAGAGGAAGTATAATAAAGAGTAGACATTGAATGATCTGGTGGAGAGAAGACATTAAATCAATATGATGGAGAGTAGACAGAGAGGAAGTATGGTAAAGAGTAGACATTGAATGGTCTGATGGAGAGTAGACTTTAAATAAATATGATGGAGAGTAGACATTGAATGATCTGGTGGAGAGTAGATATTGAATAAATCTGATGGAGAGTAGACAGAGAGGAAGTATGGTAAAGAGTAGACATTGAATGATCTGATGGAAAATAGTCAGTGAATAAATCTGATGGAGAGTAGACAGAGAGGAAGTATGGTAAAGAGTAGACATTGAATGATCTGATGGAGAGTAGACTTTAAATAAATATGATGGAGAGTAGACATTGAATGATCTGGTGGAGAGCAGATATTGAATAAATCTGATGGAGAGTAGACAGAGAGGAAGTATGGTAAAGAGTAGACATTGAATGATCTGATGGAAAATAGTCGGTGAATAAATCTGATGGAGAGTAGACATTGAATGATCTGATGGAGAGTAGACATTGAATGATCTGGTGGAGAGTAGACATTGAATGATCTGGTGGTGAGTAGACATTAGATAAATATGACTGAGATTAGACATTAGATATATATGACGGAGAGTAGAAAGTAGAAGTATGGTAAAGAGTAGACATTGAATGATCTGGTGGAAAGTAGACATTGAATGATCTGGTGGAGAGTAGACATTGAATGATCTGGTGGAGAGCAGACATTGAATAAATATGATGGAGAGTAGACATTGAATGATCTGGTAGAGAGTAGACATTGAATGATCTGGTGGAGAGTAGACATTGAATGATCTGGTGGAGAGCAGACATTGAATAAATATGATGGAGAGTAGACATTGAATGATCTGGTGGAAAGTAGACATTGAATGATCTGGTGGAGAGTAGAAATTGAATAAATATGATGGAGAGTAGACATTGAATGATCTGGTGGAGAGTAGACATTGAATAAATATGATGGAGAGTAGACAGAGAGGAAGTATAATAAAGAGTAGACATTGAATGATCTGGTGGAGAGAAGACATTAAATCAATATGATGGAGAGTAGACAGAGAGGAAGTATGGTAAAGAGTAGACATTGAATGGTCTGATGGAAAATAATCAGTGAATAAATCTGATGGAGAGTAGACAGAGAGGAAGTATGGTAAAGTGTAGACAATGAATACGTCTAATGGAGAATAGACAGTAAATATGTCTGCTGGAGATTATATAGTGAATAAATATCGTTTAGAGTAGACATTGAATTAGTCTGATAAAGAGTAGACACATGAATGATAGATGAAGAAAATGATGTGTAGTGTGCACCTCTGTGTACGCATTTAGCAAATGTGGTTTTATGATGTTTGCCCTGATATTATAGTCGTTATTTTGTATCATGAAAACATCAACTCAATTGATCATTTTTTTGCAATTGTTACTGTTGATGCTAGTATCCCTGAACAATAATCTAACTCCCCTATGCCGTCTTGATATTATCGATTTAGACATATGTTCTGTATTATACGATAAAGTTTTACATATATATGTAGTACGCTTAATTGAAAGTAATGATAGCTAAATAGTCGATGATAATGCTTTTCTTACAGACAAGTATGATTAGCGATAACTATTGGTAATAATGACCTTTATTGGGTTGCTTATGTAGACTTGACGGTTATGTAATAACATTTGACAATTACCTTCCTCATGTATATGTAATTGACAACTCTAGACATGCAAGCGCAGAAATGATTATCATGATATGAATGTTAATATGAGCAACCTTCACCCAAGTAGACTTAACTTGTTTATGTAAGAGACCTTATCATCTTAAACAATGACAACAATGTGAACCAATATGAAGTCAATATTTCGCCATCAACCATACCATTTCTCACTTGATATAAAACAACGTTTTTTACACAAAATATGTACAGGAATATGATTATGCTGATATTAAAAAATTAGTAAGATACTACCAAAATGATACCCGAAAGAGAACTCTCTCAATAAAACGGAAGTTGACCTTTGACAGAATATTTTCTTGCTACTATCAATTACTATTAATTATCATATAATTATGCTACTGATCAAGTGTCATCGCTCTGTACCTTATTGATTACTGAGAAGGAACCATTCATACATTTTATCTCGATTGACCCCTGTGACCTTAAAAGTGGGTAAAGGTCATTTATATTGCAGACAATGACCTGGGCATTTTGATTATCAAGACTACAGCTTGTAGATATTTTTTGCCAAAATAATACTTTCAAAATTTGACACTTCAAGGAAACTATAAATCCTCACTGTTACACCAGATGGTAAAAAGACAAGTTATTGTTATGTTTCTTATTCTTATTTTTATTTTTCTTTCGAAATTCTTGGTGTTCAAATGTTTTGATGGGTAAGAAATAGATTAACAGTATATTTACGTCGTAGGTATGTATTTGATGATGTACGTGTATCATTTTTAAGTAGGTCACAATCCAATATGGCCGGAATGACGTCATATGTTTTAAACTTCAAAATAGCCATATCTCAAAAAAACGTTGACCGTTCAGGCTAAGAATTTTTTTAAACTTATTACTGTCTATAGCAATTTGTTTCATTAAGCAACACACCAGATATCGTCACTCTCTGCTTCTTAGTTACTGGTAAGAAGCATTTTTTTCTAGATTTTAACAAAAACAATTGACCAAGGTCATTTAAATTTTCAGACACTTGATAGTCAATGACTAGAGCTTCCTCTATATGAAATATCAAGACTCTAGACCTGTTGGCACTTGATAAGTTTTCCAATATTTGTTACCCAAACGGCGATTTCAAATTTGACCAAGAGTTGAATTTTGAGACAAGATGGTTTTGATACATTCAGCAGCAATCAGTATGCTACTGATTTTTTTATCACAATGTGCCTCTAGGTTATCGAAAGTCTGCTACTTACAAATTAAAACAAAATTGACACCTGCGACCTAGACAGTTGGTCAAGGTCACTTATATTCACGTTCTCAAATGAGAACAAAATACATGTATGCATCATCAGAACCAACAGGCAAACTAAGGAGCACCACCTTTATATCGTACAAAGAAATAGCACAGTTCTATAGGGGATCACTATGGCGACTGTAAAATCTCTCCCTTAATTTTCACATGAAAACCTTTGTAACAGTTTGTTCGTCAGTTGATGACTTCTTGCACAAAAATCATGATAATTAGAACAGGGCCAAGAATATTGGATCAACTGCGGAACGTTAAAACTATTGGTTGGCGATGCAGGAATGTTGCTAACCAGAAATGGAAAATTAACAATAGGCAAATTGCCTGATTGAAAGCTGAGTATATACAATAACGTGGTCAATTCATTTCTTACTATTGAAAGACAACATGTCAAAGTCTTTGTGACCTGGTTTGTTGAGCTCTTCGATAAATTCAGTCTCTTGTAAAAACAAAAACAAGTCAGCCAACAGAGGGGCACAGACATACTCTGTTTACTCTTTCCCAAACCTATTCACGGCGTACTTTTAACCAGATTTATTCACTGTCCAACATCCACTAGGCGTATTTAGTGTTCACTTTCTACCAGACTTATCTAGTGTCCCCTCTCTGCCAGGCGTTTTTCCCGTCCGCCTTCCACCAATTATTCAATGTTCACTCTCCAATATATTTATGGTCTGCCTACTCTCCACTTATAAACTATCAACTCTGTACCAGGCTTATTCATTGCCTACTCTTCGCCGGATTTATTCCCCATCTACTTTCTAACAAACGTATTAACTATCCCCTCTCCACCATACTTATTCACCGTCTCCACAAGAAAATTTTATTTTGCTGTCAACCATACTTATTCATAGGGTTCTTTCGTTGCAAGTCTTTTTCATTGCCTATGTTTCACCACATGTACTCCCCTTGCTCTCTTCGTACATTTCATTGTTGGTATTACTCTGTGCAATTAACTTGTACCATGAAGATTTATTCACTACCTAAAATATTAATCTACCCTTAGAACGCCGCTTATTTCTTTAACTATTGATCAAATCTAGGTTTATTTATTTTAAAAACTACAAGGTTCTTTTCATGATAGGCATATTTTTGAGGTCGGCTTATTTTCGAGTTTTCAAATTAAACGGAAGAGACTCGGAGTTTAAAGGAAATCAAAAAGCCGAGAAATCAATAACATCATATTTAATTTATTTTTAATAGGAAAGCAAATAATTAAAGCATACTGTATAATTAGCATGTGATAAAACAGGTTATTGTAATCCACCATAAATGAGAAAAAGAAATAAAGTGAGATCAATTTATGTTAAATGTCCGTATAATAAAAAATGTCATTGCAATAACTCTTCTATACATGTCCTTCAAAATCCTCTTTCCGTCGGATGGCCATCACTCCATCGCGGATTGGAATCATCACCTGTCAAACAAACATACAAACACATAATCCTTAGAATTCGAAGACAATAAAATAATCTAAAAACGTTTAGTTATATTTTATAGACAGAAGTTAATTTAATTGAACAAAAACAATTACTAAACCATTTATTATATGGAGTGATAATTGATGGGAGGAATACATTTAATAGATGGAGTGATAACTATTGCAAGCACATTTGTAAAACAGTTTGTAAAAACTTCCTTTGTGACAGTGACAACTGAACCCATTACCAAATCAGATATATATAATATGTTGTCATAACACAATCAATAAAATGAACGTGACATGTTTTATACCGGTTACAAGTTAGTCACGTGATGAAACATGATCCATGTTTTAATCAACCATCCATGCCAAACAATACACAAGATAACTGTTGGAGGTTTGTTACATTACAAAATACATGCGATCTAATGTCTGATGTTACCTGACGATGGTTTTAACCGTTTAACATACTAGCTTTTAACGGAAGCGGAGCATAATAATTTTATTGAACGTTGTGCATGTTTAAAAGAGTGATTTCAAAACAAAACAGAAAGCATCATATGTGTTGTGTTGGCCTAACGAAGGTGATTTGTCTCGCAGGTGGCTGAATTCAGTCAGTAAACAATGATTATTGAAATATTTGTTTTTGTTGTGATATCCGTGTCAATTAAAGACAAACAATGACAAAATAAAGAAAGACTTGAACTGACACAAAGAAATCGTCAGAAAAATCAAAACTTGTATGACTTGTTTAAAACGTAATGGTACAAATATTTACCTGTCTAACTCTGTCATCGTTGTAGACAAAATCATTGAAGCTTGTGACAACATTGTTGACACCCTCCATCCCCGGAAGAAGGGCGAGATCGTGAGACAGGTACGCCATACCACCGTGTAAAGCATTGTCTACCAAAATTGTTCCACGTGGAGTCAACATGTTTTCGTCCATGATAATCTACAATACATTTGCGAAGTTGTAAGGTTATCGATGGTTTTGTAACTAACACCGGAAATTCGTCTCGTGATGAGTAAAATAACGGTGCCAACTATTCATCGGTGAAAGAGACACCTAAGACCTTTCATTTTTGCCACATAAAACCTTATATATATATCATATGCGTACTGTTCCTGGAAAATCCTTCGTAAATGTGTTTTCAGCATTAGCATTTTCCCATTTAGTTGAATGTTATTTGATATACAATATCTGCCTTTTTTCGATTATGTAAAGCCACTAAATTTCATCATTAAGAACGTGTTTAAAACAAAATGTACTTGGTCAGAAGAAAAATATCGGCAGACAAGCAGTTGACATGATTCTGAGTACCGATGTAGTAGACATTTAGTGTAACGATAGAGCAACAGTAAAGAATTGAATAAAAGAAACAGACGTGAATGATGCCATCCAATACCACCGAAAATTCGATTCAGTAAATCTAAGCATTGAATAAGTCTACTCTACATTATATACCTGTATCGATCTTTTGGATTTGTTAATTATGGTAAAGGTCTTAATTTGGAATCAGGTTAAATCTTTACCTATTTTCAATGTTGAATATTTTTAAAAGGAAGAGTGAAAAAATATGAAAATGAAATTACCTGGTAGTAGTCCATGTAGCCTTCTTTGTTAGCATCAATAAATATCACATCGAATTTCTCGCCTTCTTTAGCCAGTTGTTTCATGGTTTCCTTAGCCGGGCCTGCCAAACAAATGTGAAAATTCTCCGTTTGTTTGTCTTTTTTTTGTTTTGTTTTTTGTTTATGTTAACTGAACTTTCTGAAGCCCGATACTGTCAAGGGTGTGTTGATATTTACTATATCAAAAATTATCTTTCCTGAATTTTGGCTATTCCTCATTGCTCGGACGCAGGTATTACTATCACCTTTCAAAAACAATACTGATCACTGCTTGTGAAACTGTTTATAAAAAGTATACTGCACGGTTAGTTTTAGATATATATTGCCATCTTGCTCGACAAGTGAAAATATATTAACCTCAGACCTCGTCATTGGTCGATTTAACAGTTACGGTCGATATAACTATTTAAGGACATTATTTAATTGGTATATTTGTATAATATATTTTATTTTTTATATCTGAATAATATTTGATCTTAATAGGCAAACGTCTTATAATACATCATAATTCTTCTACTTTTTCTTTTTTTTTTTTTTTAATTTTTTTGACTTTTCTACCTACCTATCCTGATTTCGATCTTCTTCCCATGAGGAGACTGATCAACAAGGTGGCGGGCGAAGTCACCGATGTATTCCGATATTTCCAAACCGACCACTTTCCCGTCTGCAGGAAGTGCTTCCGCCATAGCAAGGGCACTATTTCCAGTAAAAAGGCCAACCTCAAGAACTTTCTTGGCGTCCGACATGCTGAGTAGCGTTTTCAAGAAAGTTCCTTTTATAGATAACCACATCGGATTATTATAAATTAATGTAGCGGGAGGATTTAATTCATTTTTCATTCCTATTTAATTCTTAGTATATTTTTTATCATACTTTATATGCGACTGGCTTTAAAATATCGACTGAAATCCACAGTTTATAACAATATCAATTTTGCAGGGAATATGAATTCTTATTTGGTAGTAAATGTCAAAAACATTGAATTTGAAGCTTATGAGTTATTATCCGTATGAGAATGAAACAATTAACTTGCCTTACAGATATATCATTACCTAATACATCATTATTGTTCATTTGAAATCATAAAATGTAATCAGACAAATAAATTCTGCAGTAAGTAGCAATAAATGTGGCAAATTAACCCCACCTAGCCTGTATCGGTTTGTGTATGAACTTTTCAAAGAAAATCTTTCCCTGCATACTAAGGTAGAGAGGTTTGCTCGCATGTAATAGTACAACAGGTTATATCAGGAGCATAAAAGTAGTTTATATTCCTCATACCAGTGTCATAGAGGACAAAGCACCATGCAATGCCTACAAACCTTCACTAATTTTCAACAGAAACGATGAAGATTCCGTAGTTTGTTTATTCTTCTTTACGCTGTGTATGTTAAGTTGTAAGACCAGGTTTCGAGAAGAGTCAGAATTGACTATGAAGAAGCACCTTTCGAGTACGTTTATGAATATGGTAACTATGAAACCAGTGTGAGTTCAGATATCTCAAGAATGATACAGTCAAGACAATTTAGCAGCAGGAAAGACAATGTGTGTGTGAAGTACAATCTTCAGATGTAAAAGCATGTCAGCATGTGACTACAAAATATAGATGCATTGAAGTGTATTTGCTCTGTCAGGCTTGATGATATTGTTCAAAGAACATAGGACACTATTTGTTTAAATCATAAATTTAACGTTTCGTTAAATAGTTATTAAAAAAAAAAGAAGAAAAAGTAAATCGGGTACTTGTGGGCGTTCCGTTATACCCTTTTACGTAGCAGTTGCTGCAGCTTTGTTAAAATTTTAATGGGCTGTGAGAAGTCACCTGATACTATGACGTCACTGGTGACGTGGTAGGGAGAATATTCCATTGTAACCAATATGATGCATGCCTTATGCTTACATGTGCATTGTGTTTTCCAACACGGACACATCTGAAAGTGAAGTTTGTCTAGCCTGAGTTCATATGAGATAATTTCTCTTCAATATGAGGCGATCAGGGCATTGATCACACGATATTCATTCAAGTAATTTGACAACCGAATACAAGTGTGTCTTTATCCTCATGAACTACCTCGAAAATTTTAAATGCACACATATTTGCATATCCCGTGATTGTAATCAATATTAACAAGTTTATCATTATTAATGAGGTATTCTGCGGTCTGCTGTGATGAATTATCGATATAAATCTCTGTGGCCCACCTGATTTGCTATTACGTAACGGTTTACATGGTATGCCCGAGGGCACGGACTACAGGTAAAGGATAAATACAATTGCAGTATTGCCTGTCACTTCTCACGTAGTCATGTATACATGTAATATACATGTAGATATGCTACAGTTAGTTGGGAAATACATGTATCTGAATACTACTGAAATGCATCTAGTCATCATTAGACAAATATCTGGGAACGTTTATTTTTTTGTAAAAAGAAATTTAGTATTATAAGAATACTTAAGATTTTTACGCTTTTGATATCAATATAAAAGTGGATCAAACTGCGTACTGACGGATTCAACATGCCTTTAACAGGTATTACTATGTACATATACAAACCATTGACGGATTCAACATGCCTTTAACAGGTATTACTATGTACATATACAAACCATTGACGGTTTCAACATGCCTTTAACAGGTATTACTATGTACATATAAAAACCATTGACGGTTTCAACATGCCTTTAACAGGTATTACTATGTACATATACAAACCATTGACGGTTTCAACATGCCTTTAACATGTATTACTATGTACATATAAAAACCATTGACGGATTCAACATGATTTTAACAGGTATTACTATGTACATATACAAACCATTGACGGATTCAACATGATTTTAACAGGTATTACTATGTACATATACAAACCATTGACGGATTCAACATGCCTTTAAAATGTATTACTATGTACATATAAAAACCATTGACGGATTCAACATGATTTTAACAGGTATTACTATGTACATATACAAACCATTGACGGATTCAACATGATTTTAACAGGTATTACTATGTACATATACAAACCATTGACGGATTCAACATGGTTTTAACAGGTATTACTATGTACATATACAAACCATTGACGGATTCAACATGATTTTAACAGGTATTACTAGGTACATATAAAAACCATTGACGGATTCAACATGGTTTTAACAGGTATTACTATGTACATATACAAACCATTGACGGATTCAACATGGTTTTAACAGGTATTACTATGTACATATACAAACCATTGACGGATTCAACATGCCTTTAACAGGTATTACTATGTACATATACAAACCATTGACGGATTCAACATGCCTTTAACAGGTATTACTATGTACATATACAAACCATTGACGGATTCAACATGCCTTTAACAGGTATTACTATGTACATATACAAACCATTGACGGATTCAACATGCCTTTAACAGGTATTACTATGTACATATACAAACCATTGACGGTTTCAACATGCCTTTAACAGGTATTACTATGTACATATACAAACCATTGACGGTTTCAACATGCCTTTAACAGGTATTACTATGTATATATACAAAATCTCTGATACTTGAGTGGATATCATCATTGTCAAAAGTGTCGGGATTTCACATACTATTATTTAATTTATACATATGTACCTAAGATATTCGTCAATACAAAACTGTATTCTCGAAAGAAATTGCCTGTTATTTTTACATTTTCCAGTAAATGCCTAACAGCAAAATATATTTCTAGAATGTAAACTATTGAATAGTTTATCTTTACATCAAAATTTGATCAATATAATGTGCCTTTGTGCTATCTAATGTATATTTCATACAACCCGTAGTATTACTTTGTAAATATGGAGTTAACTTGAAAGAAAAGTATAAACGCTATCTGCAAATTGTTTTTTATTTCTGTGTGAACCTCTAGTATAAGATATAGTGACATCACAGGTCCATGAGCCTCTTATCATCCTCGTAAATTAGTCACATAGGCATGGGTAAAAGCGTCATTTTGTGAATGATATCAACCATTGCGTCATGTTTGTGTAAAATGTAGTATCATGTCCTGTCTCCTTTAGATTTAGATATTTCTCAAGTGTATTGTGGTTTTCTGGTGTTTCCGGTATTTATTTTGTGATGCTTGTCACGACATTAAGATGAGCTGAACTGTTCGGTTAACTACTCGGCGAAATATTTAATTCTCATATGTACATAAATGCAATACAATAAAATAAAAGAGATGATTAACTAGAAGCCGTTTTCTGTCACCTCAAAGGCTGAATAATGAATATTGTAAGATTTAGTGAGTCCCCCAACACACACACACTTATTTCGTACGGCTTTTACCTTCCAATTGTCCCGTCAACATGCCAGGTCCCACTTTCCACTGGATATCACCATTGTCATATACGCTCTGCCACGGATGCTTCTCAGTTTGTGAGATGAGGTTGTTTACAGCTGAGCTTGAAGTCGATGAAATCTTATCACAATAATCCTCACAGGCCTACAGCACAGAAACGACACATGAAATTTTCACGAAGATGCTAACATAATTCACTTGCACCAAGTAAAAACCAAAATCAAAAATCGAAACCACAAAACGTTAAATGGTCTGAAAAAATTGCTATATTACGTAACGTGACATTGTCATAGATTATCACTCCTAATATCTGAAAGTGAAAAATAACATGAGATGTCAACTACAAATAATTGATGTTAACAACACGGATGCAAAACATTTTTAGTAAAGAGATACTCACATTGAAACAATCTATACAAGTTTGTATCTGTTCCTTGACTCCGCTAGGAACTTCTTGAGAACTCGCAATTTCCTGAAGCTTGTTCAGGTGACGTAACAGTGGTGTACTCCAGAACTTCGGAACAGCAGGATCAACAAAAGTGGTTGTGGTACTCATGTTGGTATGTAGAACGTTTCTGAAATTGCACATATGTTATGGTTTTGCATTATATGATACAATTAATGAGCGTAGAGTTCTATGTTTTCGCTCTGATAAAAAATATTTAGATCAACTAGGACTGAAATAATTTGTTGACAAATACACTATCGTATTTATCATCAATGGTTTTACAGGTACTTGTATATAACTATCAAAGTAATTATCAGAAGTAACAATATGCCTATCTACAGCCTTGTGTCTATTAAGGAACGTGTATGATAGCCATTGCTGCCAAACATAGTTGATTGCTCCCTTCATTTCACAGGAACCTTTCCGATATTGCTAGTTAAAAAGTACGTGCATCTAAAATATAGATACGTATGAAGCATTTTGTGTTAATTTTATGTAAAAACCACAATACCACAGCCGAATGACGTCACAAATGCCTTGTAGATAGGTCCTGTTGATTTAAATTTTACAAAAACTAAATGGATAGTGGTAAATAACAACAGAAGACCCACATTTTTCAATACTAATTCCGAATTACGCGGCGTCCTACGTTATATTTCGTCCTACGGGAAATCGTAGTTAGTGTCAGGAAACAATCCAGAAAAATCTCGATTTGCTGAAATATGTATCAAGATGTATTTTGGAAGCATGCATTAGATTTTTTTATTTTAAACTAGGAAAGATTTTTAAAAATATGGCCAACTGCACGTGATATGTCATACATATGTTCTACTCCCGTCGGTAAAGATGCAATTGATAACTAACGGACAGGCAACCTAAACAAAAATGGTAGATCTGGATAAAGGAGAATACTGGAGAGTCCAGTTCCAAAGAAAGGGGAGAGCAAAGTCTCAAAGTGTATATATGTCTTATATAGTCTATATATTTTTTCCACTGAAAAATATTCCAGTTTAGCGGGCACGAATGGAAACTAACCCTGTTTCTAAGCTCGAGTATGTAAGGCAAACTATGAATGAGGGAAATATTTACTCGTCGATTTAAAACAAATACATCGGGTACATCATAACAGCCAGAAAGCTTGAAAACATTACAGATACAAAACAATGCCTTACCTGTACACAAATTCGTATCGAGGATAAACTCCTAAACATATTGACCTAGGCCACCACTTAAATACCTTCTGAAGCGGATATGCTCAGCGTTACGTACCCAAATAGACACATGATTACTGATAAGAAGCGTCTCGTCAAAACATGCATTATTGTAACAGCACTGACCGTGAGGCCACATTGAAGCGGATGCTTGTAATCTCTAACCAATGACAACTTGAATTGATGTTATTCAAAAACACTATGTGTATAATACACATGTATTTACATAACTTTCGAACGTATTGCCTCCCTATTAATCAAGATTTAAATGAATAATTAGAATTCATTGCAAAACAAAATTAATAGAACTACAAGCTATCGTCTCTATAGTTTCCTATGGGAAACATTTTCAACTTTCCAAATACAAAATAACTCGGCTGTAATTTCGAACACGTTCATAACACCATAACCTAGACGTTTATTATACATTATCCCGTGTTTATCAAAAAAAATACACTATCGTATTTATCATCAGTGGTTTTACTGGTACTTGTATATAACTATCAAAGTAATTATCAGAAGTAACAATATGCCTATCTACAGCCTTGAATTGTGAGTTAACTTATAAATTAGTTGTTCTTTACTGGTTTATGTTGGACTACCTGGTGAATAATAAATACATCTTCATATAATAGTTCATTAATATCAATCCCGTATACATTTCTTAATCATTTTAACATCCAGATACATGTAGTGACAAAATGGCGTGTATACGCTGCTAATGTTATAAGGAGAGGGACTTCAGCCCGATAACATTTGTTTTTAACATGTTTGTTTTTCGAGTTTTCGTGGTCGTCAAAGTGATCTCATAGGGATTTACATCATGTTATATTTATATAAAGTAGAAGACTCATACTTTTCCAGAATACTTATTAGCCTTTTGTTGTTGTTGTCTTTTTTTTATAATTTTTTTCCTATTTTCCACTAGTTTTATTGAATGTGAGTCTAGATTATGATGATTTGATTAATTGATTCAAGAACATCTTTCAATGGAGAAATACATACTTTTTGCCATATTTTGACCACATCCTAACATGATTCATCGAAAAGTTTTTTCCATATGAACAATGAAATATCCCTTCATAGAAAAAAATTGCCCTTAGAACATTCTAGGAAAATTTAAATGGAACACGGAAATATACACAGCATTTGGTATAACTAAGTACACCTATTACATAAGCAATACATAAGCGATACATTAAGTTTTATCAACTTAATTAGGAGGAACGAAAGAAATGAAATTATGAGCTTAAAGATATATTACACTCTTTAACAACTATATACGTTTGGTGAACTGTTAACCTGGATATTCGATGTCTGATGTCTTAGATTAATTGTAAAAGTCTAAAGTCAACAATCAAATAATGAATTTTAAAATAGGTGTGTCTTTTAAAATAAAAAAAAAGTTATCTAGTCTCCAATGATTCTTAAAGATCCGGTTGATATCGTTAATAAAGATAAACACATTTGCATTTTAGGAGTGTTGTGTCCTGTTGATAATCAGTGATTACAAGGGACAATGGAGTGGAAATTTGAATTGTGGGTAAGGTCGAAAGGGAGTGGGAGTTGAGCGATCAAATTTTTGAAGAATTTACACGTGACTAATCACTGGTGTTTCCTTTGACAACCCCATGTGAGATTACCAGACACATACAAAACTTACGATACCAATCAATCATGTTTACCACAATCGATATAATACCGATGATACGTCGTTCTAATACTATTTAATGACACGTAGGTCCCACGCAAACGTCTTGCGATTACCTAATATTTAGTGGCATGAAGTGCGGTGTTGGATCGTTGAACGCAATCTTGTGATTTCGAATTCCAATGTAACCACTCGAACCAATAACATATAAATCCCATATAACAGCTATTATATGACGAAACGATGTCAGTAAGTATTCATAGTATTCGTGTCAGAAGAAACATATTTAAATAAGTATCTTACTATACCAATGGTTAGGAGATAAGCAAGTCACGGATACAACAACGGGAACAACAATGCATCACAAATAATTCCCTCGCGCCCCAATGTTGTACAAAATGCTTAATGTATACTGAAATTTATGGTAATTTGGGCTGTTTTATGAACAGGGCCCGTATTCATGAAATCGTTCTCATGCTCAAGCGTGGATATTGTACTTAAGCCCTATGTCTTTTTAAGTTAAAAATTAATGAATAAGGCTGATTTTGCCAAATATCTAAACATTTTTTATAAAGGACTTTAAGTCAAAGTTATATTCAATGTTCATATTTGACATTTGTATTATTCTATATGATTTTGGCGAATTATAAAAAAATTTCCTTGGGCACAAAATTTATGCTTGAGCATGAGAATGGTTTCATGAATACGGACCCTGGTTTAGGTGACACACAATACTATGTATTTCAGTAATATTTTCTTCACATAAAGGTCTTTATAGTTCAGTGCGTAATTCCTAATATCTGTGTATGGTGTTATATATCTGATTTTAATTTCCATACTGTCGTGTCTCTCTAACAACCTGTTGTTTTGTTTCCGGTCCAGACTTTTCTCTGCGTTTCGAATAAGTGTCAAGCTAATTAAATTTGATCAGTTCTTGACCCAAGTTCAAGATTATGCTGTTAATATATAGAACTGATAGTTTATACTCAGTGCATCTCTAAAAAAATTCTTGCCAATTTCATGAGCATCTTTTTTTAAAGATATATGTTGATTAAAAGTGTTGAGAAGTGCTACGGTCGTCGTGGTGATCTCATTGAGAAATATTCTATATCTTTGTGCGATATCAAACTGGGCGTGTTTGATGCTCGTTAGTTTGCCTGATGGTTCTCATGTTGTCTATATTTTTTTCTCATTAAAGAACGTACTATTACTTACTTGGATTGACCAAAGTTTGCATGGCGTGTGTTATCGATGAAGCAGAAAACGTTTACTCTTCCGGAACACATGTTCTTACTCTCCTTGTACTTTTTCAGAAGTCTCATAGTTAATCTTTCTGTTGTTAATATTTAGTTTTATTGACTTTAAGTTTGGATTATAATTATATTGACGTTTTTTATTCTTATTTTATGTTATATGAACTAAAGTGTTCTCAATTGCTCTTACATATATTTCGTTAATTGTCTATGTAAGTCTGATGGATAGATGTCTTAGGAAAGCCTTTCTTTTCTGCTTCACTTGAAAAAACGAGTTGTTTTGTTATCAGATTCCTGATAGCATTATTGCATGCGATGGATTCGAATGCTTTGCTATATGTCGTTCGACATCCTTTTAATAGCTAGGTTCATTTAAGACCTGGATCCGTGTGTATGAGAGGAGAATGCACGAGTTGAATGTTAGTGTTTCTGAGAAGCTGCGACATAGTTTGGTAAGTGCGGAACTGAAGCCGACTTCATAGTGTGACAGTAGGCCACTCATCAGTTCAAATAATAGCGGCAATGGGTAAATCTACTGCTACACTACCATAATTCTGAATGTAAAACGGGGAGTAGCAAGGTCCACATTTAAAGACACTGTATGTCGCGGCCAGGGCCTGAAATTCAAAGCCTTCCTCACAAGGACGAATGCTGACCTAAGGCCTAAATATGAGAAATACGGTTATGGGGTACTGTAGTAAGAATGATTGTCGGAGTAGTCATAACGCACTCGCCTTGCAGCTACAGGCTCTCCGTGTGCACGTGAGAAGCGACCACGTGGGTTTTCTCCTGGTACTCCCTATGTACGGCCCCTTACGTGCTTATATATCCTGTTAGTTTTTTTCGCAGTTGTTTTGACATGTAGACAACCTTTGTGTCTATGTTTAAGAACAGACACAAACGCAAACATTCAACGAGTAAATCAGACATTTGGGGCAGCAAGTGCTATTCTTATATCCTACCAGTAGGGCAGTCGATAGTGCAAGACAGTCTATCAAATTAATCATTGATTAATTAAAAACCAAATCAAATTTCAGGCAGCACAATGAAGTCAGTGACATATTAAGGAATAGATTATCGTGTTAACACTTCCGTGTTGCTGTATACTGTAACTCGGAAACTGTCATAAAATGTTATTTTGATGGATTTTCCCGCTATAAAGACAAAAGGTCAAACAGGCATGTCACCATTTACTACAATGCTTTCAAAAATATTATACAACTATTGTTTTATTTTGTTATTGTTTCTTTCATTCAAAGTGTCAATCATCAAAGTCTTGGCATGTCATGTAATAGAGCTATTACATATAGTACTATTAATACTAAGGGAGACTTCTCAGGGTTCAGAGACTTTTCGAAAGAACCTTGCAGAAAAATTAGCTTGATTTGATTGGTGTTTAACAGAGCTTCGACAGACTCAGCAAGACCGTATATAGTGTTAGCATGTTAGAGAACCTACATGCCACGTTTTTTCATCCATATGAATAGTGGCACGGCTAAGAACACATACACTCAACGTTCTTCTTTAATGACCTGAAACATGAAAATATGAACATTATTGGTGCTTAGGCGCGTGTATATGTCGACTTTCATTTCGACCACTTTGAGTTTCCCTAAGTCGCCTCCCGGACGGAAACGCTGTGTGATGCAGTATAATTCATTGTTTGACGCTACTGTATCTAACTCTAACTTTATTAAAAGTATTTAAAGTCACCAGGCTGTGGTTTGAATTCTTATTTGTTCCATAAAACTTTTGACCAGCCTAAAGGATCAACTTTACAAATATCATTTAGTGATCCAACAGGAGTAAGATATGAAATCACTTAAAGGCCAGCTCCGGGAATCTGGGAGCTTAATTGAGAAGCAGCAACAATATTGCAGGCGAACTGCTCTCAATTGTATGACGTGCAAGTACCTGGTAGTAACATTTCTAGTTTGTTATACACACCAATGAGTAACTCAAACAGCTAGAGGCGTCTGTGTCGATTTACTGTGACAAGTAACTTCTCGTGACCATGTCTAATACGGAGTTAAACAAGAGACAGCTACAGTGATTCGAGCTTCTTTCAATATACAGATCGACTACAAGTTTCAAATTGGAAATTTGCCCTGTAAAA